CCTCCTTTTTGTCTGCTGAACAAGATTTAACTGCTAATATGAAGTAGCTGCCTTTTTTGGTGCTTGAAGGTTTCTTCCCGAATACGTTTTACCGGTACTTCTACTGCGTGCAACAATTAACTGCCTCAGATGATTTCTGGTTTCAAAAGAAGGATGCTTTATATTGCTGTGCAGCCGCAGCTGCTGCTATGAATGTTAATGCTTATGGCTATGTGCACCTCTTGCTCCAGATAATGTAACTCCTGCTTCTGTTTTTGTTGCTGCAGTCCTTCAGCTAACCCTTTATTGTTATCATTTTTATGTTATGCCGATATTTGGATTGGCCCTCTATCAAGCATCGACCTTTTGTCTCCCGCAGCTTATTTTTTCCTTGGGTCGTCCTTGGTTGCTGTGTTGTTCTCTTAGTTGTATTCAATAAGGGGGAAAAAAGAGAGGAGATGCAATGACCTGGAATAGTGAAAAACAAGATTAAGACCAACATCCCAAGGTCAATCAAGCATATCGCATAAGATCAATCGCAATTACACCTCGTTAACTGCATAGACAAGCATGATGGTGTTACCAAGATCATACACCTCCGGCTGCATATAGCAAATATGTAAAATAGATACGAATTGACACGTCCATAAACTTAAATGCCGGCCATCGTTCATTTCCATATGCAAACTCTCTCTCCAACGCTACATAAATGTGTGCTTGGGTTTGTCCATTGATTCACAATTTCAATCATTTTCTTGCTCTTTCTCTAGAATGGAGAACAATAGGTCTGAACTGTTGCCAACTATGGTGATTGCCTTTCTTGTTGGCTTCATCTCCATGTTTAGCTTCTCTCAAGCATACACTGATGAAGGGAAACCACTAAGAACTTCGGAGACTAGTCAAAAAGGCAAATTTGAAACTTACATTGTCTTTGTACAGAAGCCAGAGGGGGGGGTTTCTGCTGATGACCTGGACGGCTGGTACAAGTCATTTTTACCAGTTACAATTCCTAGTTCAAACCACCAGGAACGCATGGTGTATTCTTACAGACATGTCGCCACTGGGTTTGCTGCAAAACTAACAGCAGAAGAAGCAAAAGCTATGGAAGATAAGGATGGGTTTTTGTCGGCAAAGCCCCAAAAGATATTATCTCTACAAACAACTCACAGTCCAAACTTCTTGGGGTTGCAAAAAAATTTAGGATTTTGGAGGAACTCAACTTATGGAAAGGGAGTGATTATTGGGGTTTTGGACACTGGAATATCTCCGGATCACCCTTCATTCAGTGATGAAGGAGTGCCTCCTCCACCAACCAAATGGAAAGGGAAATGTAACTTCAACGGAACTGTTTGTAACAACAAACTCATTGGTGCAAGAGATTTTACTTCATCGAAAGCTGCACCACCATTCGATGAAGTAGGCCATGGGACTCACACGGCTAGCACAGCAGCTGGAAATTTTGTAAATGATGCCAGTGTGTTTGGCAATGCTAATGGCACAGCGGTTGGAATGGCGCCTCTGGCTCACCTGGCCATTTACAAAGTCTGCTCTGATTTTGGTTGTACAGAAAGTGATATATTGGCTGCAATGGATGCTGCTGTTGAGGATGGTGTGGATGTGCTTTCGCTTTCCCTTGGTGGTGGCTCAGCTCCATTTTTTGAAGATTCAATTGCAGTTGGAGCTTTTGGAGCAACTCAGAAGGGAATTTTCGTTAGTTGTTCAGCAGGGAATGAAGGTCCGTAT